GTAGTAGTAGTAGTAGTAGTAGTAGTAGTAGTAGTAGTAGTAGTAGTAGTAGTAGTAGTAGTAGTAGTAGAAGTAGTAGTAGTAGTAGTAGTAGTAGTAGGAGCAGCAGCAGCAGCAGTAGTAGTGGCAGATATAGAAGAAAAACCCTCAAAAAAACACCCTGGGTGAAAACACTTGTGGATGAATAATTTGGCGAAAACTTGTTCTTATTCCGTCCCATTTTACTAATTTGGATGCGACATTATTGAAGTAGTTAATTTCCTCCATGAATAAGCTTGTGGGGTTTGAACTCTCCCCCAGATAATCTGAGCTACACAACCAAGTTTGACTACAACTGACGGTAGCAGTAGCAAGCGCTTTCAACTGGGAGAGTGGTTGAGGGGCTTCAGCTTGAAAGCGAATCGTTGAACGAGTCACTCTGAGAGACCATGAGATATTCCCTGGCCTCCACAGACCGTCTGAACAATGGTTGACCTGGTTTTGTAGTGTAAAGTCCCTAGTAGGACAATTTCAAATGGTTGTTTGGCGGTAAAGGCTGTTAAAGCGATGATCAATGGTGGTTCGAATCCGGGCAAAACATCCTATGAGTCCAAGGAGACAAGGAGACTGGGATACCGCTCGAGATGAAAAGTGCGATGCAGTTCGTTGCAAACAAGGGCCAATTCGACAATAGAATCATACAGAAGAGATGGACGCATTCTTCCCCACATGCCCATCCATACAAAGAGTTTTCCATTGCCTCAGTTGCGGAAGACTCAGTAATTTTTTTGAGGCAAGCCGTTTTGTGGGTGGTCGGCTGGTACTCAACCTGCCTGTGATTGGTGTGGGCAGTTTTCACCACATCCATCCCTGAATCCCTGAAAGCTTTTCAAATCACCCAAGCAGCGACGTCAAATTGGTGAACTCCTCCACGATGGAACTTGCATTTGGATGTCCTTTGTTCGTTTTTTGTAAGTTGTTTCTTTTGTTGGAATGCATTTCACATCTTGCCACAACGTTTAACCTGTTTCTGTCCTTTAGAATACTGCAACATAGATTATCAAACTTTCCAGCTCTGAGTCAGCCCATCCGAACTGAACATGTTCTGCTGTTTCCAAAGCCCAGGCCAAACATGGATAAACGGCGAATGTGTTGGATGCGGTGCTGGCACCATTGTCCTGTGGGTGTCCTTCGGTTTGCCACTACCCAGAGACAACGAGACGACTAGACGGACCTCGGTCGAAATCGAAGTTAGCTTAAAGCACTCAATGAAGTTCCAAAGAATGGAATGATTTCCTGCATGACATGAGTGTTTTGCTGAAGTTCTTCTTTCCATAATATACAAACACTCCCTGATGGCTGATTCACAGAAATATTGAACCGTGCCATGTGTAACATCTGCAAGTTTCCATGCAGGGAAGGCCGTACATGATTGTATCAGCAATGACCAGCTTAAATTGCCTTTATTAGTACAGTGTCTATACATAGTTAGTTTTGTCCATCTCTGCTTTGAGTCTTAAGTTGAAAAACACCAATCAAGCATGAAACATAAGAATGAGTGGTCCTCCAACTCATTCACCCTCAGCACGAAGAACAGGGACCCGGGCTATGCAGCACGAAGTGTTTGGAAGTTGCTTGGGTGCTGGGTTAGGCAACCGTCAAGTTGTTTTTTTGTGGAGAATGCAAACTCCTCATCCCTCAAGCTGTGCCGGGCCGCTGTGCCGCTGTGCCGTAACCGATCCCAGCTTTGATGGAAGGTGGCTTGAAAAAACAACACTAGCTGCATAATGTTTGTTCGTTTTCCTGCTCAGTTTGCAGGCACAGTTACCGGAGGTCAATTCTCCAGATTTGCTCGGGGGGGGGGGGACTTTCTTATACTTTCTTCCTCGACGGAAACAACCTCTCGATCGAGTCTGACTCGGTTACGCCGCCCGTTTCGTTCGAAGCGTCGGCAAGCGCGGCATCGACCTCTTCGACCGAGGTTCTTCATGGTGCTCTTCTTTCTGACCTTGCCAGTGGCTGGGTGAAAGCGAAGAGGGCGACAGGGGTGATGGTTTGGGGTGATGGTGATTTGATGTGAGTTTGGGGTACAATCCCCGTCGAGGGGCAGATCCTTCAGCACATGCTTCTGGCGGATTCTGGTTGCATGTGGTGTGAATCAGCATCCTCAGACGTCGAAGCGCTTGGACACCAGAAATTCGATCAATCGATCAGACCAGCCACGTTCGAGTTGACTACGAAAAAGATCGTTGTTGCTAGGCCCTAGGCTGTTCCAAGCAGAAAAAGTTGAAGCTGGGTGGTTTTCCAGAGAGTCCCTTGAGTGAATCAGCTCAAACAACGGCCTTGTGAACAATATAGATTCTATATGTATATTCTATATGTATATATATACGACCCCTCTCCAGGACACCCCTACTATCCCCTATTCATTTTAATGGTTTGCTGTTTTGTTGAAGAGCAACAAATCTACAGTTGAAGCATCTCCCGTATCCCCCCCAAAAGATACTTGCAACCGCATTTGATCAAACCAAAGCAACAGTACAAACAAGAAGCAAATAACATCAACGACAGGCAAGACATCCGAAAACATCCAAACGCACACACAAAAAAGAATAGGACCTGGGTTTGGTGGGTGTGCTATTTTTTGCCTTCCAGTCCCAGGTCTATTTATCAGATATGTGCATCCAACAAAGCAATGAGTGTATATACTTGCTTTGAACTTGCTTTGATCTTTGAAGTTCCTCATATATTTGTGGCATCAGACCCATGCTTCCTGTCCTCTGCAACTGCAACACAAATTTATTGGTGCAAGTGTATCCTTCTTGAATAGTTAGGGTCTCACACAAGGCGCCGTGAGAAGCCAGTAGACCTGTGGCCAGTTTTTTTAGTCCCCTGCTAGTCTTGTCCATATGACTATGTGTTTTTGAGGCATGGGACTGACTTTTCAACACAGCTTTCGGCATATTGATGTTGCTGTTTTTCTTCCAAGCCCTGCTTCCCTTGCTCTCGTCCTTTTGCAACTGCTCGCTCATCATCATCATCATCATCATCATCATCATCATCATCATCATGGCTTTTGGAGCTGACGACATGACACTCACTTTTGCCATAGATGCCGCGAAAGCTACCTGCGTCGACATTGCCGAGGCACTTTTCGATAAAGATAGTTTGTTGTTCCCTATACTGTAACTGGAAGCTCATGCCTATCAAGGCTGTTTTATTCTGATCCCAGAAGTGCTAATTTGCTCAAGCACTTCATCGACATCGTCTGGCATATTGACCCAAATCACTTCAACATCAACAATGTGAAAGCAATCATTTGCGGCAAAACATTGGAAGGGTTGCCAGAGGTCTTGAATCTCACTGTGAGTCAGTTCATTGTCTTGACCCAGACCGACGGCAAGCATTGCATCATGAAGCACTGCCACGTAGAGGATAGGTCAAGGGCTCCTACATCATGCGACTGCTCCAACTGCAAGAAGGAGCTTCTGCTGGAGCAGCTTGGTGTCCATCCTTTTCATGGCTTTTTCCTCTCTGCAGACAAAAAGAAGACTGGTGGCATGGCGCCCTTACCTGATGACGAGCAGGATGCCGGATGGGTTTTCATTTTTCTAGCACGGAGTGTTTGTGCATTAACCCTTTCTTCTACATGAACCCTTCCAATCTGAAGCTCAAGTCTGCATGTCTGACATCAATCACTTAATATCACAGTCCTGGACAGGGTTGCACACATAATATCACATATATATATTGTATACTTATCCTTAAAATCGAAGACACCATTCCCAATAACTCACCCCCACGCCCCAGTCCAACAGCTGGGACCCCCGGTGAGCGGTTACGCAGTGAGGCGGTCTACTATGCTGGCAACCAGCCAGTGGTTGCAAAGGTGTCCATACGACAGACGATTGGCATGTCCGTTGGCTTGGTCGTGGCCTTGCTCCAGACGCTCGGAGAAACTGAACCCTGTTGATCACCGTGTTGCAGGGCTTCTCTAGGACTGTGAGGAGATGAGAGTGGGCTTGAATGAAAAGAGGAGACACCCTATCGGTTGGTTGGTTGGTCGATATTTCGTTTAACTGGGGGCTTCCCTCATTATGTTTGTGTCATTTTCAAGTGCACAACCATGTCATTTCTATTGTTTTCCATTTGAGAGTAGATTTTATTGAGCTGGAGGTAGATGACGTTTGTCCAAGTTGATGTTCCAAAGTGTGTGTGTATATGTGCTCTCCCCAAGGGATAACATGCATGAGTTGTGTGTCCCACCGGTAGCTTTTCAAAGTCGGAGCTGCCTGACCTCTCCCACCAGACCTCGTCCTGGGGGAGGTGGGAAGAGGTCAGGTGGCTGAACTTTGGGTTGTGTGGGACCATCACTTGCCCTCAGAATTTTTGTTGGAGTGAGGGGGTGAGTGGTGGCCAAGCTCGGCCTCTGGAAGCCCTAGGCTCCCCCGTGGGAGTGAGGGGTTCCAGGGGCCACTGTAAGGGGGTGTGAGAAGGCCACTTGTTCAGGTTACAAGGAGCCCCATCTCTCTCCTTGGGAGGGGGTCCTGAGGACCCTATCCCTCCTAGGCAAGAGACTGGAGGGCCTGAGGAGAAAGAGAGAATGGAGAATCAAAAGTTGAGGTTTTTCAAGAAAGGGGGATTGGAATGATCTGTTGCAGAGTGGCCTTCTGCCCCACCGGAAAAGATCATGATGATATCTTGGCCTATGCCGAATCGGTTCTGGGCAAGGGTTGCGTGATGGAGTACGAGTGTTATGATTGGAATGGACGAGCCCAGGGCAAGATTGGAGTGATGCTGGTAGAGGTTTTCTGGTTGGGGATCACCTGATTGCAAGTGATGGGTACTATATGAATGGCTTGGCCAGCAGTATTTAAAGGATGGAAAAGGTCTCTCTCACTTATGCAGTGGAAAGTGTCAAGGCAAAGCCGCCTCGTGGAGATGGAAGAGAGTTGGTACATATCAGTCGATGGAGGCTGGCCAACATTCTGATGATGCATGATATGGAGTATGCAAGAAAGAAAGCCATGGATGGCATCAAAAGTTTCGGTGATGGATGGACCCCCCTTGTTCCTGAACCAGCAGCGCCGCCCCAGAAGGAAAAGCCTGAGGCTTTGGCAGACCAAGGTACTAAGAAGGATAGGCCTGAGGCGGCTTGCGACCCAACTGCTTTGGGTCAAGACTTGGAGAAGGCGAAGGAGGCAGCAAAGGAAAGGGAGCCCCAACAGATCGTTGCAGGTGATGGAAAGAAGGTGGTCCCTAGTGAACCAAGAGGGTCAGTCAGTCGGGACACTTTTAGAAAAGAAGGCTGCTGAGCGGCGTGAAGAGCTGAGGAAGAAGGAAAAGGAGAGAAGAAAGAAAAGCAGAGGAAGGAGCCGAAGTCGCAAGATACGCAAAGGCAATAAAAGAAAAGGGGAAAGCTCCAGTGAGAGGAGGCATATACGTGAACCCGGAGGTGTTCGTTCAGCGCCCTCCTTGGGCCATCGGAGAAAGGAGTCACCAAGCGTTGACGGCAAGGTTGAGCTCAGAGAGCGAGCGGAGGAGGGCCGCAAAGCAAGAGGCCGCAAGCTTGGTGTGGAAAGAGTTTATGAGCAAGAGCCGGGCCAGCAGATCGGAAACTGGCGGAGGAAAACTGAAGGTGAAGGGTCCAGTATTGCCATTCCGGGTAGTGAAGGAGCAGTTCCAGTATCTGGAGAGGATGCGTCGGGTTAAAGTCGAGGACCAGTGAAATGAGATCGTACGCCCGAAAGTGGTGAAAGTGGTCCTCCGATTAGCGAAGGTCCGCGTGGCAGAAGAAAGCAGGGCCCAAGCAGGAGGAGGTTTGGAAGAACTGGGCGGATCCGAAGGGGAAAGTGAATCGAGTGAGGAGGAGTTGCAAGCCTCTTCACCGAAGGCCATGTTCGATGAGAGTGAAGGAGATGGGGCCAGCTTGATGAGCACTCAAGTGGAAGCTGGAGTCAAAGAGAGTCTAGAGTTGTTGCAGCGGTCTTTATTATATCAGGAGTGGAATTGAGCCGGGGTCTGACGACGGCCAGAGTGGAAGACAACGGGAGTCATACCACTGCCGCTTTGGACCGATGGAAAAGATGAAGCGAGACGCCTGTTTGAAAATGGAGACTTCCGAAAGTTCGGTGGAACTGACAAGAAAGGTTTTCCGTCGCGCAAGAAGGGCTCCCGAAATGGGAGAGTGGGGTCGAGAAATAGGTGACGTGAGGATCTCCTACCAAGGTGAAGTTGTGGAAAAGACCTGGACTGCCGCCTGAGGGATATGGAGCTTCGGTGCCTCTTGTTGAGCTGTGTGAGGGAGAACTGCGAGATAAGCTCCTCAATCCTCTGAGCAGCACCCTTCCTGAGGAAGGAATGCCACAAGAAATCCCACGAACTCAAATTCATGCCTCGAGGCAAGAATGGGAGAAGATTGCAGCTGAGCTGCAAAAAGAGGATTGGTGAAGACAGTTCCGGCACCGGTGCTAGTCCGCGGCAAGTTCCTGGTAAGCGGAAGCTTTTGGAGTAGTGAAACCGGGAAAGTTCTTAGATGATGAACGCCCCATTTTGAGGTTGATCATGGACTTCAAAGGAACGAATGCGGCAACTAGAGTAGTAGAGGGAGATGTGAGGAGTTTCATGGGAGCGCCGGCTTTGCAGCGCGTAGTGTTGCCTGCTGGGAAGGTTATCCAAATGAGTGCGGATGACCTTGTGAGTTGGAGTATTATTGCAACATGCCCATCGAAGAGTGGCGGAGGAGGTCTTCTGGGAAAGTGTGAGATCCGTAGAGACAGCGTCTTTCCCAACCTAGAGGAGGAGGACGCACTATGGTCGCTATAGCTTGATGATGCAAGTCTTGTTGAGATCGTGGATTCTGGACTTGCGAAGGAAACAGTTCAGAAGAACAAGAAGCTGTGGGGCCTGCCTATGCGCATTAGGAAATTCCCTATTCAAAGGAAAAGAGCGAAGAGCAGAAAAGCTAGGGCAGTAGTAGATGGAGATAGTGGCACACTGAAGGGCTCGACGAAGAGAACTTTAGACAGTCTGTCCTTGTTTTCTGGCTGCTACGCCAAGAGAGAGTCCCTCCAGTTTTTCTTGGAACCAGAAGTTCACACACTTCAGTTCCGCAGGCCACTGTTTGGGGTGTTCAGCTACTTGTGGAAGGACGTTTCAGACGGTGCAGTACTCATTCAACTTGACGCAAAGTCAGTGGAGTAGATTCTGATGGCTGGATCCAGTCAAGCATTGAGGGTGACTGAACTGGGAGCTAGGCTGCATGAAGTTGTGCGTGCTTCGGACGCGAGTGAGACCGGAGGAGGATCTGTGTATGGCTCAAAGCTGACTGCTTGGGGCCTCCGGGAGATGTGCGCCGCTTGAGGAGGAAGCAGATGATGTTGGAGGAGGGGATCAACCTGGAGGAGCCGCAGAGCGTCTTGGTGTTTGATTTCCTTTGGGGATTGGAGGCCTGAGCTGGGCCTTGGAGCTAGCAGGCCACAAGGTTGATCGCCTGCCTGGTGGTGATTGAGAAGGATCCGGATTGCAGAAGCCTAAACAAGATGCGTTGGCCAGGATGTGATGTGGTGGCTGACATCGCCCGGGTGACAAAGGGCCTGACAGGAGTCGGCGGATCGCCGTGCCAGGGAATCTTGCGGTTAAACGCAGACAGAGTTCACCTACAGGATCCTCGACCCAAGTTTTTCTATAAGTATGTGGAGGTTCTGGGGTGGATTGAAGATGTGGCAAGAGAGATGAGAGTGTGGTGTGTCATGATGGTTGAAAATGCGGTCGGCGATGATGAAGGTATAAAAGAAATGAGTCAGCAGCTAGGGTGTCGCCCCCTGTATATGTGCGCGAGTGGCATGTCATGGGCGAGGAGACCCAGGCTAGGTTGGAGCAATGTGGGAATCGATGACCATCCCAGCTATCAGCTCAACCACCATGAATGTTATGTACTGGGGTTCAATGAGGAGTTGGAGCCGCTTAACTCGGTGTGTGACACGGGATGTATATGGTTGCCCACTTACACCTATCGTCCTGTGATGTGAAACAAGTGGCAAGGACACGCTGCCCGAGAAGCGGCTATAGAGAATAAATAGCTCACATGGTGACGGTCGCTTGTCTGCTCGATCTATGGCTCTGGAAGAAGTTAACAAGCGCGAACTGACCCAAAGGGGGCTATGGCTATCGTGAAGGGATGGCGTGAGGAGACGAGTTGACGGAGTTTCAATGACATAGGAGGAGGACGAAGCTTGATATAGTTTTGGAAAAGGTAGAGGTGCCATGCTGCTGAATTTGAGACTGACTCATCAGAACCTGCGACGAATGGAATTTCATAGAAGTGATGTCCGTTTAAATCTGCAGGTCATGCATCGTCCGGATGCAGGTGGGTATGGAAGACAGCTGAAGCCTACAGATGGCAAAGAAAGGAACACCTCAACCTGCACGAGCTGAGGGCAATCCTGAGGAGCTTGGAGTGACGAGCCCATTCAGCTGCTTGCCACTCATGCCGTTTCCTTCACCTGTCACATTCGCAGATCTGTCTGGCTGCCTTGTCAAAAGGTCGAAGCAGCTCGAGGAAGATCAACCGCGTTCTGCGAAAAATCTCAGCTTTGTGCGTGACACCGAGCCCTTTTTTCCTTTGTGGGCTTGGATCACATCTCGGCTGAACCCAGCGGATGGGCCAAGCCGGCGCTTTGAGAAGGATGCCCAGGAGGGAAATTAAGAGAAGAGAGTCCGAGGAAGGCTGTCAGTACAACAAGGTTCACGAGGAACTGCAGAACGTTATACGGTGGCGCTGCAGGAGTTGGTTTTGGTTTATAGAATAATGCTGTGGAAGCGGCGATGGTCTCGGTTGGGTCAGGTTACGATGGCGGCTTTTTGTGGCCTTTTCCGGCCGAGCGCAAGGTTTTCAATTGTACCGGAGAGGTGTAGTGTTGCCGAGAGCAGAAGGCCAGTCGGCCATCCTTTCTCATACATGACGTTAAAGCTGCGCAACAAACGTGCTTGCCGGTGCAACGGTTCTCTTTAGTGAGAAAAGCGGGATTGCCTGCCTGCAAGCACTGAGTCATCGACGCAGGCCTTTGAAACTCGTGGATTTCCCACCGCAGCCTTTAAGTCGCTGTGGAAGGAGAGGGACTTATGCCCAGGCCATGTAAATTTGACCAGCTTTTGGCCGCTGGAAACATAATTGTGACTTCCCACCGCAGTTTTTAAGTTGCTGTGGAAGGAGAGGGGCTTATGCCGCTTATGCCCAGGGTATGTAAATTTCACCAGCTTTTGGCCAAAGGCCGCTGGAAACATAATTTGACTTCCCACCGCAGCTTTTAAGTTGCTGTGGAAGGAGAGGGGCTTATATGCCCAGGGTATGTAAATTTGACCAGCTTTTGGCCAAAGGCCGTGGAAACATTTGTAATTTGACAGCCCGCATCTGCCTTGATCAAGCCCTCCAAAAGTCCATGGCTTTTGTACTACACCCTGCGTTTGTCCAAAGAGTTCGCGCAACAAACCAGAGGTTTGCTGCCGAGCTGGGACGCGTGGAGGTGGGGGCTAGGAGGACTTGATCGGGAGAGGGCACTAGTCATTTGCCTTTTCATCAGATGGCACTTGACCCCGGCAAAATGCGCGGAAAGAGTCAAGAGGTGGGCAAAACAACATAATGCACATATATATATATATATACTTGTAATAGAGAGATTTGGACATGAGATCATGTAACCAGTTTGTCAGATAGTGTTATGGACAACCATGGACAGGCCTGTTTGACTTTGTGCTGATAGTATTTTGCTGGCGAGCACTTGCCGGGGGACTCGTTGGCAGCCGTTCGAAGACTTGAGTAAGGTTTTGGGCGGAACAACCTTTTGGAGTCACAACTATTTACACAGCATTACGGGTGTGCAATGGAATATGGAGATCCCCCAAAGACATCCTGGAAGAAGGAAAATTAACCCAAATCCATTGGATTAGGTAGTGGCACTCCGACTGTACATACTCGTTTTGCGCAGTGTAAGTCACTGCACACTTCCGTATGCATGTCAGATCTACCCTGGGATGGATTTGGAAGCTGCAAGGCATTGACGTTCTCAGTGCAAAGCACATCTCTTCTTTGCAGGAATTTGGTATGGGAATGTTTAGAGGTTTCTGTGGCTCTGTCACTTGCGTCAATCCTGTCCCTATCTGGTTCTTCCCTGTCCGTTTCGCGATCGCTCGTAACTCGGGAAATCCCCTGCTCTTCCGTTTTGCCGCTGGCTGTGATCCTGCATGGTACCTCGGCCTCAAGACGCAGAACAAAGGAGGTCTCCCCATTCAACCACACACCCACATAACCAAACCTAACGTAGTGCTCTTTGGACAACTTGGACACCTATCCCCAACATCTGGTTGGCGAAGAAGCATCGCTGCACTGCTCCACGTTTCGAAGGGTACCTTTGCACTCTGTTCCTGAGTACTGTTCATGAACAAAGTGGTGCGAGTAGTCAGAATGCTGGGGGACCAATCCTCTCTTGAATACTAAACCATGTTTTTGTAGGAGGGAGTGCTGGAACTTCTCCTCGACGTTTCACTTGGTTGGGTTGTCCGAGAAAAAAACAAGGGTAGACCAGACCTCTTCCAGGATTCATTTCACTGAGGACCCTGGCCATCATCGGGCTGATGACGGTCGAGTGGCCGGGCAGCTTCCAAGGAAGCACCGATTGGATGAAAGCTTTCCTTTTAGATCCTTGGATTTTGAAGGTGTCGAGAATGGCCCGAATCTGCCTCAGAGTCAGAAGTTGCTCCCGATCGTCACACCATTCAAACTGGACGGTTCTTCATAGTTTGAGAAACCACTAACGTGTCTCTATCCAGCACCACGGAATTCGGGTAGTTATTGGTGAACAAAAACACACATAATCAGGGGTATCAAACAAACCCACCCGAAACTCTGTGGTGCTGTTTTTAAGGCTCATGACGTTTTTTTGGATGCTTCGCTGCATGGCATCATCAAAGCGCAGGCGTGTTCCATGAACATATGGGCCCTAGGTTGTTCCATGTTGGGGCGCCCCACTAGTAACTTCTGGTCCCTCCCGCAGAATTCGACCGCAAATAATTGGCCCCCTCAGGAGTTGCATCCATCTCCTACCATGCTGAGATGTCTTAACAATATTTTAACATTTGGGTCTTTATGCCTCACACAGCTGGCGACGTTGCGAAAGCTTGCAGAATCGATTCCAGATGGTTCCAGCAAACGACCACCAGAGAAACCTTGAAAGGAACCTGCAGGGACACTTTTTGGTGGGTTGCAGGCCCTTCTTCTTCTGCGCAGATCTTCCCAAGACCACAATCTTATGGTTCCAGTGGATCAACCTCATCCGGGCGAACGTGTTGTGCGTCGTTGGGTGGGTGGTCGAGTGGGTTCAATGAACATCTGGTGTGTTCGCTCGAACTGTCGAGGCAAATCCCCAATCACAAAGACTCGAAGAGAAAGGTCACCCACTTTTTCGTCACGCACGTTCATCCATAAACTTGTGGGGTTCATCCACACACCATGAGTTCAAGTTCACGCAGAGTTCACTCATTAGAGGGGCCACTGGGGAGCAATTGCAGTTGGTGGTTGGCGTTTCTGCATGGCACGTATGTGCTGGCCTGAAGCGTGGCCTCGTGTACACTCATGTCATATGTGTTCTACTGATGCTTACATCAGTTATTTGGAGATTGCATGTGGGTGAGGTTTGCACTTTGATAGGCGTGTTGATGACTTTCAATAAGACACTACAGCAATAGTCTATATAACCCTTTGATGTATAGAAACATGAAGCTGCCGTTTGACTGCAACAGTACATGTCATTCAGCCCACAATTTGCATTGCATGTTTATCGTTTAAACACCAGTATATATGTGAAGCCTGAACAGCTCTCATGTCTTCGCATTGATGGGCACTGGCTGCATGCCATCAAGGATGTTGATTCCTTCTCCTTTGCCTGCATTGGAGTCTTTGGCAGAAGATGGCAGAAGTGTCCCATTCTCTTTTTCAGAAGTGCACGGTGTTCCGTGGGTCCATTCCCTGGGACTCACCTCAACATCTGAATGAAGGCTCACTGGAGACTCTGAACACCTGCCGATCTGGGTGTAGTTGGCCCGAAATCATCTCCTCGGTACGGCGACCCGTTGCCCCCAAATGTTCGACCCCGAGAGCAGCACAGAAGCTGCAGGGCGATATGACTGAAGGCCATCGGCAGACTGGAATGCACCAATTTTGTTCATCCATTTTAAGATCCACCACTAACTTGGGTGGAAGTTCTTGAGGTAAGGTCCAAGTATCGGACCCAACAGATTCTTCTCTACAGTGGTGGAAACCCGACATTCCCTAGACCTAAGGCTTCCAGGTGGGCCAGGATGTTGAAATGAATCCTCCGGTGATGCCTCAGGCGGCACATCGGCTCCGGTCCGCTACATTCTGACCGTTTTGGTCTTTCCCACGGGCATCGCATGGCTTTGCCTCTGCCGGGCTTGCTCTGCTTGGTTGCCCAACAGCCTCGCCCAGCTGCGATGGGGCAACAATGAGACACTCAACACCATGGGGCACTTTCTTCAAGTGAGTTCCTTGACGGAAACAAGAAGAGTCTCCGCTGATAGGCTGCAAGTCGTCGACCAATGGCTGCCCTTCCAGTTGATGAACCGACGCACCACTCGTTCCCGGTCGCGATCCACCACGTTCGAGACACACCGGTGGTCGTTCCCCACCGGGCGACCGAAAACACCTGACGTGGCGCACGTCGCGTGACCGGTGGAGGCTTTGGCCCAATGAGTACCATCGCCTTGCAGTGCTTGCTGCTTGGATCACATCCGAGCGCCTGTACACGGTGGATGTGATCCGGATGTCTTGGAAGGACATCAGGTGAGTCACCGGTGATTTTTACCATTCAGAGTGGGAAGAGGATGGAGACCTGATTTTTTGGTTTGGAAACAAAACCGCTTTTTTATTCCGAGGGTGATCCGATCTGAGACTATCCACGTACTCATTTGTTTGATTTTTGTTTTTTTTGCAGTTGTTGCTCCTTGAATTCTATCTGTTTCAGGTGGATCATTCAAGGATCCATACCTTCTAAGGTGCTTGGATCAATTGCAGGGTCACATCACTGGTCAATTCAGACGATTTACGGTCCGTGGGAGTTTTGTTGTGTTAGCATGCGCTTAACATTGTTTAACCTTGCTTTTCCAAAAGCACTTGGAAGCAACATGGATCCACCGCAAACAAACTATCAAAGCAAAACGGGAGTGACACCTCAGGGCACGGTCTCTTTCAGAGGCTGTGTTCGGTCTGGGAGGGCCTCCAGGCACCCGACTGAGACTGCTCAGATGGCCAAAAATCAGGAAGTTGGGCAGGATTTTGATGGATTTTGGTACCAATGAGAAACTCCTGTTCAATTCGATCACTTTCTAGAGGATTCCCTTGCATCAGACAGTTGTTCGTTGCAACAACCTTTATCCCCGATTCAAAACGTCATCCAACATCATTCAACACAAAATAATTAGCTTTTTAGAATCCTCACACATAGCCTGTTCGTTTTTGGTCATTCATCGTTGCCCTCCAAGGATGTGCTACACTCATCCCAATGGGGCCCACAGCTCCTGGGAGGAAGATGCGGGGTGCGAGGAGAATTTGGGCAACGGCGACACTCCAGCGCCAGCCTTCGCAACAGATTGGGGATCGCAGTTGCAGAGTGGAGTCAAAAGTACAGAAGATTACAGAAGCCTGCTGAAAAAAATCGCAGTCGCAGCCACATAAACCTGAATACAATCCTGACAATCTTGAACACTCAAATCTACTAAATGTTGACACGCAAGAGCGGGCAGGCTTCACTAGACATTTGCCGTGGGTACACCTTGTGCAACACTGCGCAACGTCAAGCCTCAGCCCAGATTGAACATTCAGTGACCGTTGTGATTGTAATTATACAATTACATATATAGTTAAAATTAATATATATATATAATATATCACTAGCAGAACTTTGGGTTCACTCCTTGATCTTTTGTCAATGTTCATTCTCACTAGTTCTCACAGGTCTTCACGACAACTAGGGTGCCCTGCCCAAAAGCGCGCCCCCAAAGACAAATGTTCCATGCGTGTTCCGCGCGTCCGCCAGTGAGGCTTGCTGAAGTATCCGGCAGTGATGTGCGGAGAAGGGGAGCACGTGACCATGATGGTGGCAGGCGAAGACAAACAAACGTGAAAAGGAGACAGATGGCTTTTTCCCCAACTGCCAGTCTTGTGTCCAGTGTCTCTTTGACGGGATTTGTTTGGGAGTTGGGAATCGGCCCGGGCCAAAAGTGCTACTTCCGTGTCATTCTTTTTGATTCTTTTTGTCCTTTTGTGTCGATTTCTCGGGAACGGTGAAGTCCAATTGAAGCCCAGTTCCCAAGGGCCTGAGGGTTGGGGTAGTCCGAGTTGCTTTAATCACGAAAGCTAGCCTTAGCTAGCTGGAGTTGCTCTTGCTTTAGCAAGTTAAGTGACGGGGTGGACGCACCTCAGAAACCTCAAATAATTGATTAAATCAATCTTATGGACCCCCCCCCCCCCTGAAAAGTAGAGCCTACCTGTACAGGGTTCCACTCCAACAGCTGATATAGTGTGTCCATGCTTGACTGCTTCAAGGCTCAAGGGATATAGGATTAGACTCTGCGTGAGTAAAAGACACTAGCGGTCTGCACCTCTACCGTGTACGCCCTAGTCACTCTTTCAGTGGTAGCGGAGCAGTGATCCTGGAAGACCCAGGTGAGCTCCTTTCCTAGGCATAGAATTGCTTGTGGGCAAACGGCCATGGATTGGATAGACGACTGGGAAGAGCCTGATGCGGATGTGGCTTATGAGCCAGCAGCCTACGTGAATAGGCATGTGAGAAGAGAACCAGCAGCAATAGCAATGACAACACAGGTCACTACAAAGGTGCCCCCATCTTATGATGGAAAGACTTCATGGTTTTCCTATGAGGATGCCATAGACGATTGGTGTGATATCACCGAGCTGGAAGATGAGAAGAGAGGACCAGCTTTGAGAAACAGATTAGAAGGAGAAGCAGCAGTATACAAACGTGTATTAGACAGAGATTCATTGAAGGCTAATGAGCCACCAGGAGCAGGAGTAGATTACTTCAAACGAGTACTACGACCATATTTCGTGAAAGGATCAACCAATGTATTCCTATACAGGTTTATGCAATTCGTGCGATTCAATCGAGGATCAGCTGACATGATGAAATGGATGACAAGATTCCAGATTTTACTCCAAAGGCTTATGAGCAGTTGGATGGACATGTTAGAACCAGTCACTCAAGCACATCCCCAAGTCCTTGCTCAGATGCAGGCAGATGCAGCGTTGACTGGAGTAGCACCAACGGCAGAAAGGATTCAGGAAATCATGCAGAATGTCAATGGCAATATGAGAATTCTTCATCAGAACGAATTTCCTCTAGGAGAAAATCTGATTGCTTTACTCATGCTGTCACTTGCAGATTTGTCTCAGGACCAGCGAAACACTTTGACTTCTTTGATGACTCATCGTGGCAGGTACCTGCAGCAATACACTACAACAGAGCTGAGGACAGTTTTCATCGAGATGTTCTGCACGACAAAGACTTCAGTAGACAATCCATTGATGCAGCCGACAGGTGCTGGAGGTAGAAGATCATTTCTCGTACTAGACGAAGGAGAACTCGATGGTACATTTGGCTATTGGGCCGAAGATGAAGAAGATGGAACTGAAGGATTTTTAGATGCCCTGGACGATGTCTTTTGGGTATATGATGATCAAAACTTCTCATGGTTCCAAAGGAGATTCCAAGGAAGAAGAGCCAGAAAAGGCAAAGGAAAAGGTAGAAGAAAAGGAAAAGGTAAAGGAAGATCAGGCCGCAGATTCTTCAGACCTCGTGGAAAAGGAAAAGGAAAGAGACGAGGTAAAGGCCATTTTGCTGATGAGCAACAGACAACTTTTCCAGATGAATACCTTGAAGAGAATCCTTATGAGGACACTTGGGAGTCAAACCAAGGAGCATATGATGCCATTCTTGCCGAGGATATGAATGACTATCTTCAAGGAGAATATGATGATGCCAATGACTTTTGGCAACAGCTTGAAGAAGCATGGTTTTCCCACAAAGGAAAAGGAAAAGGCAAGAGAAAAGGCAAGAAAGGAAAAGGAAAAGATAAAGGAGATGGCAAACAAGATGCAAACTATGCAAATCAACAACAGCCACGTTCTTTACCTGCACATTCAAGAACTTCACAAGCATCAGGAGGTCAACAATGTTTCTATGCACATTGTGTGACAGCAGCAGCTGAAGTCCATGACAGTGAGGTGGACTTGCTGTCAGGCATGATGACCTCATGCCAAGATGAAGCTGACTGCGTGGTCAACAATGGTGAGACGATCTTCGATGACATGAGTGCCCCTGTGAGGTACTCTTTGTCAAAGGAGATGCTCACAAAGGCTCCTGATGGCTTTGCGCTTATGAGCGCTGATGGCTTTGCGCTTATGAGCGCTGAGGAAGAAGTGAAGGAGATGCAGGCTATTTCATTTTTGACTGAGAATCGCTTCCCGCCAACTATTGCAATCCTGGACATTGGATGCACTAGAGCTATGGGATCAAGGCGAGCAGTCGACCATTTTTGCAACTATGTCGACAATCACCCAGATTGTGGATTATGGTACTCTTTTGAGTCTACCAAGAGCAAGTTTTACTTTGCCAATTCCCAGAAGGCTACTTGCACTCAGAAACTGGTGATTTACATGTATGATCGTGCATGGACGATCCACCATACAGAGTTCGACATAGTGGAAGAAGGAGAAGTCCCTTTGCTTATGAGCTTGCCACAGATGAGGAACTTAGGCTTTGAACTCAGGCTGACACCTCAACATGCTTATCTGACATCGGTGCCTCTTGGTATCAAATTTTTGGAGTTGAAGGTTGCAGCCAGTACTCATCTTGTCTTGGACTTCCAAGATATTGCATGGTATCTGTCTGACGTGCGTTGGCAGACTCAGCGTGAGAAGAGCTTTTACTCTCACCTCACTCACTATGAATATGGCCATATTTCTGTTGAACACAATAGTGATGAAGGTGAAGCTGAGCATGCATATCCTGTGGTTGATTTCTGGGAAGTAGATGTTCACAAGAGAGAACTGATACGTCACCACAAGGATTACAGGAAAATTCTTTTCCCAGCAACTAAGTCCTGTCCTGTAGACACTGACTTGCTGGAAGACTTGCGATTGACAATCATCAAGAAGAAGAAAGGTGGAGAAGAAATCAAGAAGACAGATGATTGGCGCAAGGCAAAATGGAAGGACCTACAACTTGGCTATGAATGGCGTGGTAGAACAATTTTTAAATTTAAGCCAGATGCCAAAATTCCAGATCTAAAGATCAGGAAGGCTGGCATTGAGCACCGTGGCATTGGTGATCCCGATGCAGTGGTGCGCTCCTCCTCAGAGAAGGTTCCCATTTCAAAGGACAGGGAACCAGGCTTCTCATCAGAGAAGGAAGGTGCACCAGCCAGTGCCGCGGAAAAGCCCGTGCCGCCAAAGTTCCGGTATACTTCCAAGGGTTTTGATCCATTTTGGAAAGGACACAAGTCAAAACCATCTGAGCCTCAGAATGATTTAAAGGGTGATGATCTTGAGGAGTATGCTCCTTCAGAACCACCTGAGAGGCCAGAAGGTGAACTTGTAGAAATTCCTAAAGCATCAAAAGGACCATCAAGTGATAAACATGAACCACTTGAACCAGGTGATGGCGCTCTTGAGCCTAGGCGGATTTCAATCCCATTACCTGGTAGTGAAGTTGTTGCAATGACACCGGCATATAGGAAGATGTTACAGAGACTGGAGGACAAGGTAGAGCTTTATAAGCTTCATGTGAAGCACTACCATATGAGTCCTACTCAGTTTCGTAGACGTGTTTCTATGTTGAAGCTTCCTGACTCTGTTTTAGAGAAGTATGAATCAGTTGTCAGGAACTGCCGTGTTTGTAACACTTCAGTGGCACCTCCGCCACGAGCCAGAGTCTCCGGTATTAGAGCTTCATGTTTTGGTGATGTTGTTTTTGC